TTCTCTGATTTTTTGTTGTTCAATTTTTTATGATTTGTTGTTGTATAAATGTCTTGCAGTCCAGAGAAAATTAATCAAAATGGTGGTTGTACAATTTTCTCAGATTTGTTGTTGTTTCATTTTCTCTAGTTTGCTGTCGTATGAATCTCTTACAGTCTAGAGAAAATTGGTCAAAATGATGGTTGTTCAATTTTCTCTGGTTTGCTGTTGTATGAATCTCTTATAGTCCAAAGAAAATTGGTTAAAATGGTGTTTGTTCAATTTTCTCTAGTTTGTATTTTTTAATTTTAGGTTTGGGTGTGGCGTATTTTGCTTAATTTTTTTTTTAATTTTTTTTATTTTAGGTTTGGATTTGGCGTATTTTGCTTATATATATATATATATATATATATATATATATATTTATGTTGAGTTTGGATTTGGCGTATTTTGCTTATATATATATATATATATATATATATATATATATTTATGTTGGGTTTGGATTTGGCGTATTTTGCTTATATATATATATATATATATATATATATATATATTTATGTTGGGTTTGGATTTGGCGTATTTTGCTTATATATATATATATATATATATATATATATATATTTATGTTGGGTTTGGATTTGGCGTATTTTGCTTATATATATATATATATATATATATATATATATATTTATGTTGGGTTTGGATTTGGCGTATTTTGCTTATATATATATATATATATATATATATATATATATTTATGTTGGGTTTGGATTTGGCGTATTTTGCTTATATATATATATATATATATATATATATATATATTTATGTTGGGTTTGGATTTGGCGTATTTTGCTTATATATATATATATATATATATATATATATATATTTATGTTGGGTTTGGATTTGGCGTATTTTGCTTATATATATATATATATATATATATATATATATATTTATGTTGGGTTTGGATTTGGCGTATTTTGCTTATATATATATATATATATATATATATATATATATTTATGTTGGGTTTGGATTTGGCGTATTTTGCTTATATATATATATATATATATATATATATATATATTTATGTTGGGTTTGGATTTGGCGTATTTTGCTTATATATATATATATATATATATATATATATATATTTATGTTGGGTTTGGATTTGGCGTATTTTGCTTATATATATATATATATATATATATATATATATATTTATGTTGGGTTTGGATTTGGCGTATTTTGCTTATATATATATATATATATATATATATATATATATTTATGTTGGGTTTGGATTTGGCGTATTTTGCTTATATATATATATATATATATATATATATATATATTTATGTTGGGTTTGGATTTGGCGTATTTTGCTTATATATATATATATATATATATATTTTAATTTTTTTATTTTGGGTTTGGATTTGGCGTATTTTGCTTAAATTTCTTTTTTCTTTTCAAATTTATGTTTTTGTTTTTTTTTTTTTTACATTAATTAGTTCTTGTTCTTTATTTTTATTGGCATACAATAACTTTTTTTTTATTCATGCGTTTCATTTATTTGTAAATTACGTGGCGAATGGTAATTTATGTTTTCATATTTTTTTTTTAAATATTTTTGAATGAGGCATATTTTTGTCGTTATTTTTTTAAAATTTACGATTTTGTCATTTTTTTATTCACTCACATTAATTTGTTTTTATATTTCAAAAATGGATTTTCTCTCATTTTATTTATTTATAAATGATGTGGCAAATGCTAATTTCTGTCTTTTTCTATTTTTTTTCCTTTTTTTTTTGGATGAGGCCTATGTTTGTCGTTCTTCTTGCTTAAATTTACGTTTCTGTAATTTTTAAAAATTTTGTATACATTAATTTGTTTTTATATTTGACAAATGGTTTTCATGTGTTTTATTTATTTGTAAATTACGTGGCAAATGCTAATTTCGGTTGGTTTTTTTGTTTGGAAAAACGTTTTTTTATGTCATTTACAATATATGATGTCGAAGATCATATATTGTCGTGGCACGTGACAAAAAATGATGGTCTGTTTTGGTTTTTTTATTGTTTTCAACTTGTGTTTTTATGTTTTTAATTGACGTCGCACATGATAATTTATGTATTAGTTTTTTTTTTTTTTTTTTTTTTTTTTTTTTTTTTTTTGGTTATTTGTTTCACCTTGTTTTCTTTTTCGAAAAGGCTTTTTTCTATGGATTTTGGTTTTTCAAAGTTAGGCACGTCACCAACTGAAAGGGGGTATATTCATGTGTAAACACATACATATTGTACATGATAATATATTTCAATATAGTCTGTTCCGCGTGTGTCATTAGTAATGTTACAACCCTACGGAAATTAGGTCGACTATTATATATTTCCTAACATTCCGTTATTACGCATGTAACATAATTTGTCGCGTATGTAAAAGTGCACCAATGCCATATGCGGGTCCTCATCCCCAACCATTAAACCATCCTCGTCATGTTCAACTTCTGGTATGGCATTTATTATTGTCATAGCCTCTTCCTCGTTACAGATTGGGTGAACAGTTGTTGGGTTACCTGTGTTGCGCCGTATATAATTATGTAATGCCATTGACGCACCTACTAACTGAACTTGCACATTTGCAAAGTCATACCGAGGCATGTCTCGAATAAACCCCCATCGATTTTTCCAGGCACCGAAAGTGCGTTCCACCACACTGCGTAAGGACGAGTGCACTTTGTTGAGTAATTCCCTTGGCTTGTTTGCCGTCGTGTTCAGTGCAATACGTCGGAATTCTTGTTGGTGGTAACGGTGGCCTTTGAATGGTGCTAAGTAACCTATCTGGTTTGGATAACCAGAATCGACAAGATAATATTTGCCTGCAGACATGACAATAATGTATGACACCAAAACCGAACATACAAGCTTCATTTTCAAATAACGCTGTTTCAGAAAAAATATATAGCCCCCTAAATCTAATAACATCGCCATGTGTTACCTTCGTCAGGATGTGGGAATGGGACATTGTCATTTGTTAGTATCTCGTTGAATATGCGACTATCATGCATACTTTCTTCCCATCCGCACGAAATGAATATGAAACACATGTCAAAATCGACTGCGGCCATGATATTTTGCGTGTGACAGTATTTCCTACCAAAATATGTTGCCGCATCTGGCCCCGTAACCCATGCACTTACATGTGTTCCGTCTATTGCGCCAATGCAGTCCTGCAAACAACCCAATTCTTTTGTTGCTTAAACAGGTAACAAGTGTTTGGTTTTTTCCATACGTCACGTCTAGTTAAGAATAAAAACAAAATAACTGACACTCTTTATGTATGTGTGAATAATGTTTTGCAGTTGTACCTTGAACGGTAGGTGTTTCCGTCTAGACCGCACGTATGGATGTATACGATTGTATGTGGGCCGACAATGAACAACAGTGAACTCTTTTATAGAAGTTAATACGTTATGCACGTGCCGAGACACAGGGCTCGTTTGGTTTGATTTTCTGAAAAAAATTTGAGAAATTTTCTCTACAAATAAGTTTTCAAAAATAACCAAACCAAACAAATTTTCCCAAAAAAATTTCCCAAAACTTGTAAACCAAACAAGTTTTCCAAACAAATCTCTCTCTCACACACATCAAATCAATCACTTTTTCTAAAACTCTATCTCAAAATAATTTTCCAAAACATCTTTTAAAAAAAACCAAACCAAACATGTTTTCGTACTTTTTATCTCTAAAACACATCTCTCAAACACAAACCAAACATACCCACAGTCTCCCCCGAATATTGGAACCGTTCTTGGATTTTTCGATTTTGCTTCCCTTTCAACACATGGATAAACATTGCAACGCTTTCTTCAACAGCTAAGCCATGTGGACGTTGCGGGACTTGTAACCCAAAATCATTTGCTAATGTCTCACACAAGGCGACAAAAACTTCCTTCGGCATGCAAACGTTTTCCTCAAATCGGTCCATATGGCCCGCTTATAGTTCGGATATCCATGCATTCCCGGTCAATATAGAAGTGCGACATGGCGTTTTAGCCATGTGTTTTTTGTACCATTCTGTCGCATACTGGCATGCTTGTACAAATGTGCAATTGTGTTCTTGTTGCACCTGGACCGCCATTTGATTAAACATTTCCCTTATTCCGTCATTGTTGCTTCCATCCCAGGGATTCATTACGTCTTCGTTGATGCGAAACCTACAAGAGTGGTGCTTTTCAATCAGTTTGCTACCCTTTCATCGACTCAAATTATTTGAAAAATTGCAATTAAAAAATGCCGACACAGTTAATAATAATGTAAGTAATGCCGTCACCAATGTACGTAGTAACGCATAATGATATGAATTGCATAAATTGTAAACCTGTTCAACTTGAATTTACAGGGGGACCATGGTGGTAACAACCACAAAAGTTGACGTCAAAGTAAACTACTAGTGAAATTTGCAAAATATAGACATACAAAAGCTAGCAAAAAAATAGCCATACATTTAATTTAAACAGAAGCATCCCATTCATTTCTCAAAAAGCGTGCACAACCATGCTTCCATTCCGTCAACCCACACACTGAAGTAAAAGTTTTGTTCACCATAGATAGCAAGAAGAAAACAAAAATGAAGGAATAAAAACATGCACACACAACCATCCTGTTTTAATATAGTGCCAACAATAACATAAGTAAAAGTTTTCATAATGCAAGAGAAGGACAGGCATCTTTAACACTCTTAACACCGCTACATCACATCCGACGAGCCCCAAACAGGTTTGCAAAAGGCGCCGACATAGTACACTGGAGCTGCTTCTGTGTAAGCCACCCTATGATAGAGTCGTCATCAAGCTGGCACATCAACACCTCCCGCAAATCGGCGTTATCCATAAGTGTCGAGGCGAAGTGGAATAACGGCGTACCAACCAGTGATAGAATACCTGTCAGGCGATGCATGCACTCCGAAATAGTATACAGCGATTTGTTACCTGTGAGGTGCCTCACTGTAACCTGCTAATTCTTCGTACGCACCACATCTGTCAGATTGTTCATGCTTTCCGCAATAACTAACGCTCCACTTATTGCCTTCTTCGACTTTGAAACACTGCTTGATGGCGTCTCTCTCCTTTTCCCCTTTTCAATCGGAACATGCTCCAGTGAAGAATCTAAATCCACGTCCTGTACTCCTACGGGTATCGGATCAGCAAATGGATGGGCTCCCAAACTATGCACTGAATCAGATAAGTCATTAGCAGCTTTAGGAAGTTTCTCTCCCGGGATCCAATGGTGCTTACCAGTAGCTGATGTCCCCATGAAGATGGTCTCCATCAACTCACGATGTTCCAAGGTTTTTTTCCTAAACTTGGCACACACCTTGTTTATCTGCAAAAATAGAGATATATGAAAGAGAATGACGTTACATTTCATATAATTAATTAAAATTTAACTACAAAAGTTAAAAATGTACTGGTAAATGACAAATATGAAACTTGTTTGTACATGTACTTATCGATTCCATCTTGTCCCACCACTCCTCAGGTGCTTGAAACATACCGGTGTCACAGTCAAACCCTATCCCTGACACTCCTTTGCTTGAATCCATCAACTTTGTCCACGCTTGCCAGTCTTTTTTCAAACTCATGTACTTATTCTTCAACTGTTTGAGTCCAAGTTTTCTTCCTGTTTTTTTCTCAAATTTCCTTCCCAAGGACTTGTACCCTGCTTGGCTGAGGACTAGGAATGGGCGATTTCCTTTAGTTATCTCATTTGCAATCAACTGCAGGAAAACTCAGATTGAGGCACTGTCTCATGAGGCTTTGTGGCTAAACTGATTATATGTCTCTTCAAGACTGCTTGGCTTGTCAGTGACAATGCCTTTGCTTTTGGATTGGGTACGCGGAGAAGTACGTATAGAAGCCATTACTAATGTAAGGTTATAGAAGATTACCATCACACATTCGGTTGTTATATACAAACCCATAAGCCATTACACATTAATAACAACAAACAGAGAGATAGAATGCTAAATTAGCCAACATATAACCATTGCACATTAATTTTATACGTACACAGGTTCCATGGAAGTTAGTAGTGGACATAGTTATGATAGTCATTAATACGTCTAACATTTCGAAGTAGAGGAAGGCAAAGGCAGCTTAAAGTCATACTATTGTACATACTACCAATATACTAACAACATACTAACGTGTTTGTACATACTGACAACATCGTAATGTTGCTTACATACGGAATAACAAAATGACAACGACAATGCATAGCACATACACAATGGTCTTAAGGGCACGCAAGGATTGTTGAATGTCTATGACATCAGCCCGCAATTGCATGACAAATTCGTCCCTGGGTGACGCATAGTCTTGGTTCTCTCGCCTGGGTTCTTCGCATCAACCAATCCAACTGACACAGGGCTGATGAGTGCAAATTATGGAACTATTAGTTTCATGGGTTGTTAAAGAAGGACAGTTATGACCTACAAGAATGGGTCACTCACCACAAGGCAGGGACATGCAAAGTAGGGATGCCCTGGATTATTGGTGGACCTGGAAATCTTAACAACACAGGGGCCATGTCCACAGGCACACATTCGTCGTGGCCATGTACTGGAAGTTGCAGTAGAGGTAAACAAAGCCATGCTATGCTTTACAAACAATAGGCATTTGATAATTTACATGAATCAACATGAAAACGTACAAAGACTAACGGTATTTAAATTTTTATTCTGATCATGGACATTGAATTATGATAAGGGTATCGTGCATCTTGAGTCAGTAGTATATTGGTAGGAGTATTTACCGACCCATATGCACTTGCATAGACTTATGTTGTAACCATGGCGTTTTATTATTATTATTATTATTATTATTATTATTATTATTATTATTATTATTATTATCCTAGTTATTTATGTTTTATTATTTTCAGTTGTTTCACTCAAGTGTTTGACAATACTATATTTATATAAATAACATATAAGATTGTACTTATTTTTAAAATTGGACATGAAAGTATAATAGAATTGACATGCACATGAAAAGTGGACATACTTTTTTGGTAAAAAAATTTCATAACATAATCTCGTGATTTCATGACAAGTCAATAAGTATTTAACAGAATCAGACATGCATTCACAGATTTCATTCACAATACCAACAGAAAATGGGTAGAGACTAGCAGTGGAAGAATGTATACATCAATTTGATAAATCAAATTTCATTCAGCTACTGAATTCCTAACATTCAAAATGTTGACAATAACAGACGAAGAACAAATATGCATCAGAGTGTACATCAATAACATAATAGTGTTTTAGCATAATCATCAGAGTGTTTTAGCAGAATCAGAGTGTACATCAGAGTGTTTTAGCAGAATCAAAGTATGCATCAAAGTGTTTCATCAAAGTGTTTTAGCAGAATCAGATATGCATTGACAATAACGTAAGTGCATTCACAGATTTCATTCATAATTTATTTCAAAAATTGGTAGAACGTAGCAATGGAACAATGTGTATAGAGGAAGAACAGATATGCATCAGAGTGTACATCAATAACATAAGAGTGTTTTAGCAGAATCAGAGTGTTTTAGCAGAATCAAAGTGTACATCAGAGTGTTTTAGCAGAATCAGAGTATGCATCAGAGTGTTTCATCAGAGTGTTTTAGCAGAATCAGATATGCATTGACCATAACATAAGTGCCTTCACAGATGATTTTCAGAATTTATTTCAAAAATGGGTAGAGAGTAACAGTGGAGCAATGTGTACATTTTTTTGATAAACTAGATTTCATTCAGCTACTGAATTCCTAACATTCGAAATTTTGAGCTGAAATTTTCCAGTTTTAATGATCATTATAAGAACAAAATCAGAGAGGAAGAACTTTCATGTTTTACGGATCTCAACCTATATCAACGTAGTCCGGCCCTCATTACTCACAGATTTACAGATTTATATATAAGAACAGATATATGTATATATATATATCTGTGCCCAAAATGTGTGAACCCAAGCACGACGAATCACTTCAACAGGTCGGTAATGAACCCAAATTGTAATGAACCCAAAATAGGAAAAAAAAAATTTGGAAAATTTTAAAAAAAGAGAGTCCCCACTTCCTTCCAAATTTTTTAAAATCCTAACGTTGTATACAGAGAAAGGGATTGTACACATGAACCCTAAGCAAAGGCAAACACACACTCACACTGATCTACGAAATCAGAAGGGTTTGAAAGAGTTACCTAAAGATCGGTGGTGTTTGAGAGGGTTCGTTCTTGTTCGCCGCTGCCAACGTTAGGCCCCAACCATCTGATTTGCCGACCTGTTCGCGAGTCGTCTTCGCCACCGTAGATGCGTACTCCGATGCTAATCGCCTCTGCGAAGCCGTATTTTGATGTCGTCGCCGCTGGTTGCCAGAGATTGCCTTGTTCGCTTCTTCCGTGCCCTAGGACAGTTGTGTTGTGTGTGTGTGGTGAGGCACTGGACGAAATGAATCAGAAGGAGATGTGAGGGTAATTTGGTAAATTTAGCCGAAGAAGGGTTCCTCTCCAACCCTAGCAAGCGTTTTTGGCGTCATGTGGCTAAATAAGCCTCTTTTGTCCGCATGTGGCTAATATAGCCTGAACCTGCCTTCCCAAACACACACAAAATTTAAATTTAAATTAATTTACTTATTAAGATTAAAAAAAATACAAAATTATGAATAAAATATATAATGATACTTATATTAATAATAAATTTCATTAATCAAATATATAAATTTATACAAACACTAAACATAAATAAAAAATAAAATAGATTATTGAAAACTTATTTAATATATTATTAAAAATAAATATTTATTTATTTATTTTTATGTTCATGAGCCTTATCGAACTGAGCTTAGGGCTACTCGAGCTCGGCTCGATTAATAAACGAGCCTAAAAATCGAACTCAAACTTGTTCATTTAGTAAATGAGTCAAACTCAAATGAGTTTTAAACGAGCTGAACTTGAGTTGTTCATGAACAGCTCGGTTCGTTTGCGGTTCGTGTACATATTAAAATCATCATATAAAAAATAGCAACATTATATTCACACAATTTATTTTTTTCATAATCTTCTTAATTAGATGGCAAGGCAAAATATATATAAAGAGAGTTTTTAAAAAAATATTTAAATAGAGTGGTGCTACATTTTCAATACATCACCTTCATTTTGACTTCTAATAAGGTAGAAGAGAGAGATAGAGAGATAGAAAGATAGAGAGATAAGAGAGATGAGGAGTGTGAGTCTCCATTCACATGGCTCATTCTATATCATTAGAAATAGATTGGGAGTGTTCAATTCAAGCTCCCAACTATTTTTATATTTGAATGTAGGTTAATTTTTTAATTTTAACTTGTCACATTATTAGGGAATTGTAAAGAGACAAAATTATGTGAGTGAATCATCTTTTTATAAAAAAAAAAAATATATAGTTTCACTAACCTTGTTTTGCCTATATTTTGTATGATCAATTATGTATCTAGACTTGCTAGTTTCTACTGTTGTTATTTTTGTACGAGCGAATTAGACTTACTTCTCCTAAATTTATTGTTTGGTTTTGTTTTTTTGAAAACAATTTTCAGAAAATTTTATTTTCTTGTTTTCCGTATTTTTTTATTTTTACTAAATTTTTTTAATATTTTAAGCAATTTTTTTTAATTTTTAGACACACTTAACATAAATACACATAAAAAGTATAATTTTTGTGAAAAAATCTTTTAAAAATTCAATAAATACCAAAAATACAAAAAAAAAAAAAATCCAAAAATTTAGTATATTTTTTGTATTTTTATGTATTTGTTAATTTTTAAAATATTTTTTCACAATTTTTTTACTTTTTAGATACATCTAAGTAAATTACATCTAAAAAAGTAAAAAAAAAAAAAGCTTAAAATTTAAAAAATATCTTAAAATTTTAAAAATATTCACTAAAAACAAAAAAAAAAACAAAAAACTCAATTTTCAAAAAACTTAATCCAGAAAACTCAAACCAAACACACTGATTGGTCTTTACTCTATATTTTGCCTAGTTGTTAATTGTTATTTTTGTTAACTAAATTACAATAATTTTTCTTAAAATTTGTGTTTAATATAGTTTATATATATACAGGGTCTAACTTGTCTAATGTTTGAGATCAAAATTGAACCGTCCAGTCTAGTCCATGGGCCCATTTTTTGGCCCCGTTTCGATAATCTGAATCGTTTAATGTGTAGAACTCGTCGAGTATTATATCTCTGTAAAAAATTAGATTGATCGGATACTGATAGCTATTTGATCGTATCAAATTTGTATTAAAAAAATGAATGGTGAAAAAAATAAACGGTTGACAAAAAATTGATCCGATCAAATAGCTATCATTATCCGGTTAACGCGATTTTGTGTAGAGATATAGTACTTGATGAGTTCTACATTTTCAACGGTTCGAATTATCGAAACGGAGTCAAAAAATGAGCCCATGGATCAGACTGGACGGTCCAGTCTTGATCTCAAACATGAGACAAGCTGGACCTATATATATATGTATATCTTGAAAATTAGGTAGACCTTTCATATTCATATTTGTCCAATTGGCAAAAGTATTAAATTATTGCTTTATCATTTATTCTCCATACCATTTTTTTTTTTAATCTTTCTTTACTGATGGTGAAAATTGTAAATTACAGTGGAGAAGCAAACTTCGCCGGAGCTGACTGCCGGCTCTCTTCCCACAGCCCTATTTGCCACATCAAAAAGCGATCTACACACATTTGAGTGAACTGCCCGTAATTCTCGGGATACACTTCTAAGGAGTACAACATTGTATACCAAATAAATCAACAAAAAAGACAAAAAGAAAAGGAGGGATGAAATAAGGTACCAGAAAGCAAGTTCACCATAATAGCTATCCCACTGCAAAAGCATATTCCTCTATGCCATAAAATATTTTCTGGTACCAAATATATAGCAAAACTGGCTCGTGTGTAAGGACGAAGATTCCCGATTCAAATAATTCAAACGCATTTATTTTCCCGCCTTTGCTTTATGTCTATCATTCTGCAAAAATATTTTCTTTACAGCCATGCAAACCACCAGAAGAG